AACCCCGATATTCTCGTTGAAGGTCGAATACGAACCTTAATCCAATCATTCATGAAAATTCGAGGTCGAGCACGAACCCCGATATTCTCGTTGAAGGTCGAGTACGAACCTTAATCCAATCATTCATGAAAATCCGAGGTCGAGCACGAACCCCGGTATTCTCGTTGAAGGTCGAATACGAACCTTAAGTCAATCATTCGCGCAAATCCGAGGTCGAGTACGAACCCCGATATTCAGTAGCTCCCTATAGGATGGCTCCTGCTGAGCTGGCTGAGCCCTATAAAGTCATTGACCTAAAACTTAAAAAAAAAATAGTTTCTATTATATGATGCATTTTTTAAATGACATATGATGAACATCGATGTTAGAACCATTTATGGTTGTCCTTTAACTTTAATGTCACAAATACTTAGTTGTTACTATGATAGGAATTTCCATTATTATATACCGGATTTATATATATATATATATTGGATTGTGTAAACAAGTTTTGCACTTTCTATTGATCAGTAATTATAATTATTATAAATTATAATTTTGTTTTTTTATGGGAAATTATAAATTTATTTACCCTTGTGATAACTATTTTTTTCATAACTTGTAATAACTATTTAAAAAGTTATATCAAGAATAGTTTTTAATTAATTGACGTTTTTTTTTTCAGCTTATAATAGCTATTTAAAAAGTTATATTAATAATAGTTTTAATTAATTGACTATATAAAATATTTTATACTATTTAAGTTATTATATTTCTATGATATATAAAATTTAGAAGAAATAACACCGTAGCTTTACCTAAGAAAAGACTCTAATTCTTTTATCTCTTTTTTTTATAAAAAAATAAAATACTCTAAAAAAAACACTTATTTATATTTTCATTTGCCTCATCTTTTTATATTACCTCAAAGAGACAAGTGAAAGTCAGGATCTTATTTTACTCCACACAATAAGCCCTTGGAGATTAAGTTATTATTATTTGTTATTCTCAATTTTTTAATATTCATTAATGGCGAATATGATATTCTTCAACAGCTCAACAGCCAGATAAAGCTTCTCACGATATTTCAAGAACAACTCTGTTGTCATGAAAGAGTCTAATTTCAAGTTTACAAAAATTAGAGCCATCTCCATCCCACGGGGTAATCTCCGTCCTTATGATAATTACTGTCGAAATAAGGCATTTAAACCCCTGACCCCATAGAATGATATAAGTTGCAAAACTTTCTAATAATCTCTAAACCTTTTAGCAATATTACCAAACTGCAAGTCTCAAAATCACCGAGCCTCTAGTGTAACCAAGTGGATCATTAGTTAATGACTAATGAGACCATTAGGATTCGATGTTCTGAAATCTTAGGTCAAGTAATTTCAATGGGAAAAGTAGATTATGATATGAAATTCGACTTAAAATTTTAAACGAATCCAAGAATCTAGCACTTCTTCCAAAGCATTTGCACATTTCTCACAAAATCGTGAAAAATATATATTCATGATAAAACTGGTACATCTTTGTAGCAGCCTTGAGATTCAACGATACTCAACAATTGGCCACTCAGATAGCAGATGGATACTACAAAGTTCATTCAATTTCTTCTAGGCTTGATCAGAAGCCCATTGGAAATTAGTGTATCCTGTAAAACTTCATACAGTAAGGTGACATCCTTTCTAGTTCTTGAACCAGGGGGTTTTGCTGGCAAAATATTTCATAATTTTGAAACAATCTTCTATCCAAAACAATCCAGCATAGATTGGTGCATGTGAAAAACATTCAATTTTGCTCGTGGAAGGATCAAATGGCATCTGAAACATAATTATACCAGCTACTTCGAGTGTACTCTGTATAACGCCACACACTATCTAATTAGCACTTACCAGTTGCATAACTTATGGGCAGCTTGAGTAATAGAAAATGATTTCTCAATACAGTAGGGCAATATATTGATCAAGAGATTTTGTCATCTCAAATCTCAATCATACAAACTTACTGCATAGCAACATTACACGGTGAATATCATGATCAAAGCTGACGGTGAAACCATAGTACAGGAGATAAGCCATTGCAACATGAGTGGAAGAGAGAACCACAACATATGGTACATTATTTTTTTTTAATCGTTATTATTAACCTAAACAAACAATTAGTTTAGATGAGAGAGGAGGAAGCTTTGAACACAAATTAATGGATTCTAAATTCCTAATTCACGATCATTCAATCATAACTCAAGACAGGAGAATACCCAAGCATCATTCAAATTCAAGCACAAAATGTAGAAATAGACTTGGAAAACAACACTTGGAATGAAATTGAAGCAGGTAACGCAAAATAACTTTGAACTTACAAATCCATTAATAATAGTTTTAAAAGGAAAACCCTAGAAGTAGAAGTAGTTAGAGAGGCCTGACAAGGAAGAGCGTTGAGCACATTTCTATTCAAAGACGCTAATAAATGATCTTTGAAACTACATATGAGAATATTTCAACTTTGACTATGCTTGGATATTTTCCTAGCTTTCAATTGAATATCTGATTTTCTTGTAGATCAAAAATAGAAGGGGAAAAAACGAAAAAAGTCCAACAACTGGAGAGAAAATGTTACTCAGTGTATACATACACAATTGGTGACACATACCAAATTTTAGCCAATCGCTAGTCCATTCATTTTTAACCCGTTGAAGAGAATAAAAATAGGGATATAAATTTCTAATATTTTAAATCCCATACAGCCATTGATTCATTAATCATATAATATTAGTACACCATAGATGGCAAAATGTATGGGTAAAATATTCCTATACCAATAACAACTATAACAATATTCAAAAACTGACAGATTGTCCCACCATAAAAATCTAAATGCTGCTTGCTTCAAGTTTTAAGTTACTAATCTTCATCTGAACTACTATCTTCGGCAGTCTTTCCAATGTCCTCTGCTACATTTTTATCCTGCAGACATGCAAAATGATGAGTGCAACTGTTCAAGGTAGCTGAGTAGCATAAAGGTAACCTGCCACAACTTCAAACTTCAAAGAATACTTACAGGCATTTTGTCCCAATCCATTAGTCTTGAACTTGTCAACATATAGTTATCTCTTAATGGAGCCCAAGCAGGCTGATCATCTTCTACCGTGCCAGTGCTTTCCTTGGCCTGCATATTTAAACCAAAACAGTTTGATAATTTAGCAATGGATGAAGCTACCACATTAAGATACATTTGTTATAGTTTATTGAAAGAAAAAAAATAAAAAATGTATATGGTAGCTAAACATGGTGGTGTAGATCTAAAACATCTATCTTATTCTTCTAATAAAAAACTTGAAAGCATCGGCTTAAAAACATCAAATCAAATTCAACATAGTATAAGAAACCAGATAAAATATAGAAGTTCAAAATGGAAGGCCAAATAATAATATATTTAACATTACTTGTTAAATCCACTCCAAAATAGTATGACTAGAACTTTTCCACATCCAACATAAAACTTGCACTAAAAGTGAGTGAATGGCAGTAACAAATCACCTTTGCAAGGGTGCCAACTACAGGCAATGATGGTTTCCCTAACTCTGAAAAGAAGGCTTCTTTGGCCCGCTTTCGTATCTCTGGCAGACACACATAAGATAGTTAGAATTGTGCGGACGTTACCAAGATTGAATATGTTATGATCCATGGAAATAGACAGATAAGAATGAACAAAAGAATAGAGTGAATTAATAATATATGGATTGTAGTACTATAATAATAATAAAAATAAAAATAAAAAGTATTCAGAATATTTCTAGGAATTACAGCATTAAACATCTTACCTTTTGCATCCCTATTCCTTGAGGGGTTCAACCCTTTCTGAGCAGTTTGTGCCTTATTGACCTGCAACAGGTGTGAACAAAATCTCTGGTTCAATAATGATAGAGATACAAAGCAGGAAAGAGACAAGGGTAGAAAATCTAGGAAGAAACCAAAATTTAGTTAAATGTTAAGTGAAAACTTACAGCATTGAACAACTTGACCACTGGAAGTAACCCAATTCAATGCATAGTCACAAAATAGTCCAAATCAGTAACAGGAAAATGCAAGTTATCCAAAAGAAAAAAAGGTCATGGACTTTCATATAAAAGAAAATCCAACTCATTTACCTCCTTTTGTAGCAACACTTATTAGAAACTTTTCATGTGAATCCAAGTATGTAGCAGGTTTAACATGTCCCTTTTCTGCTAACTGTAACAAGCAATAAGATTACTATCCATGGACCATGACTGGTTCCCTGGCAGGGAAACTTTAGAATGACAATAGTTGATGATACAAATAAATTATCAAAACTACTTTTGAGTTTGGACAACATTAAAATCAGTCAACTTGGAATTTAAAATTACCATCTGCTTTTCCTTTTTAGCCTCCCCTATGACCTTGCGTTCTGCCTCCTCTTCTGCAAGTTTGTCTATAACAAGTTTTTTGTGCCCTGACAATATTGGACCCTACAAAGTTATCCAAGTCTTAAAAAACAGTTTCCTAATGCTTTGTATAACTATAAAGATAATCTTCTCGTATGAGTTATGACACCTAACTTACCAACATGTCGTCAGAAACACTCTTCTTCATAATATTCTTAAAGGCCATCTTGAATGCTCTACATCCTTCAGTAAATTTTGTAATTCCCGGCTGAATTTCATCATCACCTTCTCCTTCATCTTCAGAACTGTGATTATTCTTCATATTAGTAGCATTCTTATTCCACGTTTTTTGTTGTCCGGCTGCACCTTCATCTTCAGACAGATCATCACTTTCTATATCATCGCCCTCACTTTTTTTATTGGTGATAGATGCCACACTTCTAACCACTGAGGTAGCAGGGACAGTGGCCTCGTCTTCTTCATCATCAGAATTATACTCACGTGCTCGCTTGCGGAAAAGTTTCTTCATTTTTTTGTCTATTTTAACTTTCTTCTGTCCATGTGGTGGTGGCATCACTTTAGCTTTCTTACTTGACTTTTTACGGCCTTGATTTTTAACAAATTTCCTCTTAGCTCTTCCAGGTTCTAGCATTGTCATTTCTTCAGCCATGACCTGTTTTATAATTAAACTTCAACCTACATATTACAAGACAGCAGCATTCAGCATCCACCCAAAAATAAAGGGTGCAGCACAGGCACGTCACAACGAATTTGACATTAGTCATTAAAAAAAGTGGGAAAAAAAAAAAACAAATAAAGCATCCATAACTACACAATGTCATTCCCAAACCAGCTAAAGCTAGTCACTCAAATTGTTCATTGTATCAATGCTTTAAGATAAGATATCAGTTCAAACTTCAAACATTGTGGATTCTTTGCAGCCACAGAAGTAACTGCAAGAAACCCTAGCCATTAAAACAAATTATATACATTAAATAATTATAATAATAAAAAATAACTCAAAATTTTTTGGACTGTTGGATGGTAACTGCAGGGAATCCTGATCATAGTTGACCAAAGTAACACCTCACAAGCAGAATCAAAAGATAAGTCACATATTGACAATGAAGCAAACACTGACGAAGGTTTAGGGTTTAGCACTTTATGAAACATTTAACGTAAAGAGGAGTGGGAGTGTTAACAACGAGTAATGAAGGAACATGAAGAATAGATAGAAATTGAAATTGCAAGAAGCAAATAATGAATTACCGAATAGATAGATGGCTCTTACGTCGAAGGAAGGAATTGACGAGCTCTGTAACCGAGAGGGAAGAAGGGTTTAGCGGTGGCAGAATGCGAAGTAAGCGATTATGAAACGATGGACGGGTCAGAATTATGGGTCGGGTAGGGTGGTGGATCCTAATTTATTTCGCTTTTCTTTTTCTTCTGTCAAAATTCAGAATTGAGTTGGACTGAAAAAACAGAGAGTAAAATAAAGTATATGATTTATATATTTTTTTAAAAATTATTATAAATTCTACCTACATAAAAGTAAATATTTATGTTGTCGATTATATTACTATAAACTAAAATATTATTTATTTTTAAACTTTATCTTAAATCTTAATTTTCTTAAATTATTATTTTTTTTTTTCAAATCTCGATTATTATATTCGTAAACTGATTCCTTTTATTTTCTTTTAAAAAAAATTACTCTGTTTTGCTCTCTTAAAATTTAACTATTTAAAATTATTTTATTTAAATTTACTATTCATATATTTCATTCTATATCGAGGTGTTTTTTTTTTTTTTTCTCTTCAATTCATTTCCTTTGGGAGGAGGTTTTCATTGTCGAGAGTTTTGGAGTAGGCAGATACTTTTGTTTCTGAATTTAGAAAACGTCGTGATATTAGTCTTTTAAATAAAAAGAAATTTAAAAAACTTGAAAATAAAAATCGATACTTATGTTAGTCTAAAATTTTAAAATAAATATGATTAAAATAATAATATTAATGTATATCTTTAGAGACAAAAGTGATTGTTTATTAGAGATTTCATTCACTCAATTAGAAATATTTTATAAATTGGTAATTAATTAGAAATTATGATAATTAAATTTTTTAAGATAATTATAGTAAAAACTAACAAATGGACCATACATGATAATATATTATAATGGGATAAAAATATAAAATCATTTTATATTATTAATGACTATTTTCCCAAAATGTATTGTTTAATTTATTTTTTGTTCGGTCAATAACCCAGGCTGTATCATCACATAATTAAAATGTTATTAACTCATTGAGCATGAACTATATGCCGTAAAATAATGTTACATTTGGATGCAAAATAAATTTACATAGTTTACCTAAGAATTTTGTAGGAATATAAGGGTTTTTTTTTTTTTTTTAAGTATATCCGGAACCAGCATTATAGCATTTATCTTCTATGCTATCCAACAGAGGTTTTTGATTTGGGAGCTGAAGCTCCTTTTGTCCATGAAAAACACATAATCACACACTTAGAACTACAACCTGCACCTATGATAGGTGAATTTACTTCTTCAACAACTCAACCGTTTTATCAAGCTTCTCACAATATTTCATGAACAACTCTGTTGTCACAAAGAGTCTAAATTCCAAATTAAACAAAAACTCTATCTCCATCCTATTCATCTCTTCTGTACTAACTCCTCCTATTTTAGCATAGTAAGCATTGCTGTAGTACCTACAAATTTTGCAAAAATTTAATTCTGACATTCAATTCCACGATTGAAAGATAGTATATCCTAAGCAATTCAATTTACTAATCAATACATCATCATTCGTCTTCATGTTAAAACATGCAGAATTAATGCTAGTTTCTTTGAAGTAAGAAATTATATTCAAATTTTGTAAATTGAAAGAATATAATTAGAAGAGAAGATCCTATTAAAAATAATTAACCAAATTTTTTTTGATAAGTCATTAATAAAATAATACCAATAACATGATTATAAAAACATATTGCTTCAATTTTGGCAAACACTTACTTGTCATCAAGAAATTTTGTAGCCAGCATAACGCTTGTGATCAAGAGACGATGAGCATTGAAGGAAGTGAGAGATCCACCCCTCTTCTGAAAAAACCTGTCAATGTAAATCTGTGCAATCACAAAACATGAAGGGCTGCAGCGAGAGTACTTCAAAATGCGTTCCATGTACTGTGTAATGCTCATTTTTGGTGCTTTTGACCCATGAAAGATGGTAACTGGATCACTATTTCTGGTTGTGACCAACAATTTCTCATTCTTCAAAATGGATCTCTCCCAATTGGAAGACAAGTTGAGCAGAGCTAGGGGTGTCCCTAAGGCATGAGCATGATCCTTAGATGCACCCAATTCTAATGATTTATAAGCCTCTGATCTTATGGCCATGCCTTAATTAAAATGCTGTTTCTGTCTCTATATATACATGCAAATACTACACCATGATTTTGCCTTAATTTTTCGTGATAAAGACAAATCAAGAAATAATTACTTCTAATTTTCTTAGGATCTTATCATGGTTTTGAGATGTATGTTGCAATTTGTTCTAGAATGGTAGAGAACTTTGGTGGTGTTTGCTTTTATTTCTTTCTGGAAGAATATTAAGAAAAGTGTATTCTTTCCTTTCGGTTGGAGATACGACACCCTAAGAATATTGTGCAAATGTTTGATATAAAATGGAAGCAATTCCATATGGTTGGGCACAACACTATATATATAGTTCAAACAAAGTTTAATTAGTAAAGCTTTTATTTTCTTAAAGCATCTGTTGATTCCAATCCAAGTGGGTATTGTGCCTCAGGTATAAAGTATAAACCAAGTAAGATACTCGTGGAGGATAATATGCGAAAGCAATGTGAGTGCGTGTGTAATGAGCTTTTTGTTTATTTTTTTTTCTTTTCAGAAAATTAAGTTTCCCAAAAATAGTGGCTATCATTGTTAGTGAAATCACTCATGTGCTGCTTAATTTTAATGTTTCTTTATAAATATCTTAACACGAAATGAAGTAAATAAAATATATAATATTTTTGTAATTTATCAATACAAATTAAATTAAAATTAAAGATATTTTATATCAATTAAATTAGTTTTTAAAACTTTAAATTAAAATTTTAAAGATCTATCTATATAAATATTTCATATTTAAATTTAATTTTTATCATCTAAAAAAAATACTAATTTATTAATTGACTTATTTTTTAAAAATATTTCTAAATATACATTTAATAACATTCGCAAGAGTTAATCACTAATACAACTTTTCAATCTTATGCGCCAAGTGCATAGGTTAAGGTTTTCACTAGAAAAAGAAGAAATAACTATCTCCACGTCCATCTCAGATAATTATTCCTAATTACTTTGAACTCTTCACAACTCACTATTGTTATATTATTATAAATCAATACTTGAAAGTCTTATTTTGATTAAGTGCATGTTTGTATTGGAGTTCAAACGTGAAAAATCACGTTCAATTGAAAGCAACAAATAATAACTTTCACGTAAAATTATTGTTCGACGTGGAGAGAGAAGACAAAATTGATTTACAAAATGGAAACCAATCATGCACTAAGTATCCTAACTTCCGGTTCCGGAAGAAAATAGCATCATCATGTCAAGGGAATGATGAAAGTGGCTTAAGTTATTAATTTAATATTATAAACTAGTTATAATATAAATATTTATTTATACATATTTATATTACAATTCACAATAAATAAGTATTTTGAAATTTATAAATTATATTATAATTAAAATTTTAGATTAAATATATATAAATGATATTTTGAATTTGTATTATGATATAAGATTATTTTTAAATTTAAATGGGTAAGTTGTTAAAAAGAACTTATAAGAATTTATAAGAGAAGGAAATAAAAAAAATTATTTTATTTAAAAGTTAAAATTATGTCATTTATAAGTTCTCTTTTATCATAGTATCTTTAAATTTTATTTAAGATTCAAATCTTAATCTTAGATATATATAGAATAAATTATGTTAGGAGAAGAATATTTACTTTATGTGTAATCATATTTTCAACACAGATTAATCCTTGTTTTCGATAGTGAATATTTCATACTAATATCATCGTTATCAAAAATAAATCTCTCAATTCACATATGACTATATATGACTATCACTAATCTAATGAATTCACACACAACAAAATCAAAAATTAATTATTTATTAAATAAATTATTCTCACAATGTAAGATATTTAATCACTATGTCAACCTATATGGTGTTAGTTCATGCATAAATTATATCATAAAAGTTCTCTTATATTAACTTATTAAAAGAAATATTCACACATTTATTAATTATTGGATACTGTCTAATTAAAATTTTCCAAATAATTATTATCAAGTGCGATAAGTAATCAACAAAAATTAATAACATTAAATACTTTGATTATTAATTATTAATAAACTTGATTATAATCATGAAAATATTAATTTGAATTTAATTAATTATGAGTAAAAAAAATTCATTTAAAAGAAACATATTTACTACATGCATAAGAATGTGTGTATATTTTTTGACTTAATCAAAAGTACTCAGAAGAATATGTTTAATGCTCTTTCCCCCCTTCAATTCAATATGTCATACAAATTAATAATCAATTAATATAAAATCCTTAAAAAACTTATTGCAGACTTTTTTAGACGAATTCAGAATATGTCTTAACTGAAAATAAAAAAAAAAACAATCCATCAATAGAGCAAAGTTTTTTGGACATTCAAGCTTATTATTTATCTTGTCGCTGTCTCATCAACCGTTTATAGTAACATTTTGAAGCGTGCAAATATATATTTTTTTCCACATTTAAAGAGTTTGACTCTGAAATGAAACAAAGACTTGTCTACACACACTTGAAAATGTAGTTATTAGTATATGTGTTTCGTCTAGGAGTTGGGCCCGAAGCATGTCGTCATGCAAAACCGTCATGTAAAACTTTTTGACTATAACTATGCGTGTTTCTGGGCGAGGCTTCTCACGTCAGTTTTAGTGATAAAGCAAAGGCAGCACAACCACGAAACAAAAAAATGCCTTCTAATAAATCCTCTCCTCGATCTCATTCAAGGCGAAATCGTTTCCTCACTTGTCTCCTACTCTTGTCCCTACCCTTCATTTTCTTTTCGCTCTACGCGAAACACAAAAGAGAATACCCCAAGCCAAGGCCCCATTGGGTTGATGTCATAGCAAAAGCTACCAACAACAAGAACAAAATTAAGGTAGGCCTCGTTAACATGGATGGTAACGTGTACGATGAGGAAGTAAGTGCAATTGAGAATGAATTATTGGTGGAGACAGTGTCCATTGAATTTGAGCATGTTGACGAGAATTTGAAGTGGGAGGAGATTTTTCCCGAGTGGATCGACGAGAATGGGGAGTGGGGTCCGGCGAAGTGCCCGCACGTGCCAGTGGCGGGGTTGGGGAGTCACGTGGATCTGAACGTTGTGGTGGCGAGGGTTCCGTGTGGGGTTAGGGACGTGTTTGGTTTGCAGGTGAATTTGGTGGTGGCTAATTTGGCTGTGAAGAGTGAGCATAGGAACGTTTATGTTGTGTTTGTTGGGTCGTGTGGTCCCATGGTGGAGATTTTCAGGTGTGACGATCTTCTGATGCATGGGGAACAATATTGGCTCTACAAGCCTGACTTAAGGAGGCTCAAGCACAAAACGCTTATGCCTCTGGGTTCCTGCCAGATTGCACAAACAGGTACACGTTAATTCATTAATCACAATTATTTTTTTTTATATTTTAAAGAGTATAATAATCTACTAAAAGTAAAAATCAAATAAATAATTATAAAAGATATTTTTTTATAATAGGTATAGATATTATTATTTAATGTTTTACACTTGCTTTGTGTGGGGGAAAAATAAAATAAAAACTATGGTCCCTATGATATAAGGAAGGTTGGTATTGAATATTCTTAATTTCCAAATCTGCACGTTTTTTTTTTTTTTTTTTCCCGAATTCTGATTAAGATATACTCATTCTCTGCGTCTCAGTTCTGACATGCGATGCTGGACTAGGTTTTGAAACTCTCTGGTATTCAATATTGTATAGAACAAATTAAAGGAAGTATATGTAATTGAGATTTAAAAAAAAATTATCATAAAAAAGCTTTATGATATGTGATTGATTTTTTTAATATAAAAAGTTTTATATGATATTTAATTATGATAATCAAGATTTTTTTTAAGTATATTAAAATTTGATGATATTTAATTAAAATAATTAATATTTTTTTAAGTATTTTAAAATCTAGTGATATTTAATTAAAACAATTAATATTTAATTATATTTTTATTATTAAATATTATATATTTTAATTTTTAATTATTAAAATTTAACAAATGTTTGTTTTTAATTGAATTTAATATTGAAATATCAAATTTTAAAACATATATTCAAAATATATTTTGAAAATTTCACCAATTAATGAATATCATAAATTTAAAAATATACTTAAAAATTGTATATAGATAAATGTTACTTAAGAGAACATAAAATTAAAATTAATTGTTTATTAAAAGATTAAAAAAAATTATTATTTTATTTTCTTTTATCAAACTTTATCATTCATGTTATTTTCTTATTAATTTTTTTTTAAAAATCTATATTATTCTTCTTTGAAATCTAATATATATTTTTTAATATTTATAAATTCTAATGATACAAATTTATTAAAATTTATATTACAAAATATTGATTAAAAAGGTTTTTTTTTTAAATCTTAAAAGTCATTATAATTTTATAAAATCTTTTAAAAAAATCCTAAAAATCATTAAATTTTTACAAAGTTTTTTAAAATTCATAAAAATTATATTAAAAAGGTCTTATAAAATCTTAATCTAATACACTCATAACCATCTAAATTGAAGTATCTGAATGCTTTGAATTAAATATAGTTTGAAAAGATAAAACATTAAAAAAAAGGCGACACAAAACGTGTTCATTAAAATATATTCGAAACTATTTTTACTACATTTTATTTTGTTGATTTCAAGGTATGTAAAAACCATGAGAAATTGTTTCATATGTCTTGTTTTAAGTTCTAAAACCACATGTCATTCTTGGTGACTATGTAAATATCACACTTATTATTATTATTATTACGAAAATAAACTTTTTAATATTATTAAAATTATTTTTTTTATCGTTCTTTAATCAAAATTTAAAATATAGGTTAACATATAATTTAGTCTTTATAATTTTTATACATGTTGCAAAATCTCAATTTAATTCATATATAAAATAACTCATTAAATTGGTTCATATTATTTGGTCATATTATTAATTTATTCTTTATACATGTAATGAATTCTTAATTTAACCTTTATATCTATAAGGATATTCAAAGTAAGAAAACAATATATTATATAAATAACAAATTAAGAATAGATAGATAACAAAAGTAATTAATGGCGGGAGGGACTAAATTCATATATAGCATTTAAATGTAAATATTTTACATTTATGGATCAAATTCAGAATTTATAACACACATGGTTCGTAAAATGTTATTGTTGTTATTAGAAATGACAAAATAGACTAGGATGACAAATATACACGTACCTGTCCCGACTTTGACGGGAAATACCCGATTTGATCGGGTACGGGTACGGGTATGTACACCCGTATGTACTCACCCGTCTCGTACTCGTACCCGTCCCCGTTTTCATTTTTAATTTAATACTCACTTTCAATTTAATTATATTAAAAAAATTAATATTTTTTTATATGTAATTATTTATTATAATATGAGATAGAAAAATAACTTAATTATAATTATAATATAAAAAAAAATTTAAATTTTTCATTTTTTTACAAAAAAAAAGAAAAAATTTGACGAGTACGAGTACGGGTACGGGTATACCCGATACCTGACGGGGACGGGGATAGGGATAAAAATCACATACCCGACAGGTACGGGGACGGGAATGAGTTTAACTCGCGGGAACGAGGACGGGTATCATGAAACTCGTACCTGACCCGCCCCGTTGCCATCCCTAAAATAGACATAGTTGGCGCAATAAAAATAATGCTTGTACTTTAAATTTTCAACTCAAATTAAATATGGTTGGTATTATATCATAACTTGACGTGTTCTTAGCACACAAAAACCTGCCAAAAAAAATCAAGCTTTTATATGGCTTGAACTTTGTTTTAGTGAAACCCAACCCACCACATTGAATAAAGTATTTTATTTTTGGTTCGTCCCTGGAGTATCTGCCGTCGATAACAGTGACTAATCTACTCGTTACGTTGGAGGCACCTCAAAGAATGGGATAGCTGACCCCAAGATTTAACGCGACTGCATACACAAGGCAAGATTCAAGCCCTTGACCTTGCTTAAGCGTAGATCAACCCCTACTGCTGAACTACATGCTTGAGGTTCGAAAAATGATTAGATTGACAATAACTTCTTAAAACTTTATCTAAAAAAATTTAAACTTAAAAAAAACTGAAACTAAAGTTTTAAAACTAAAAATTAATTTTAATTTTTAAAAATTTAATACTAAAATCTAGCTCGAACGCGACTTAAAATTTCAAAACTAACAACTGAAACTGACAGTAGTTTTTAACAAATTTAAAACTTTAAATTGAAAATTTAATATTAATATTAAATTATTTTTAATCACTTGGTATTGAAATAGAGTTCAACTCACGTGAATAATAAGAAAAAGTTGTGTCATTAATCATCGTTTCCACCTTTAACCAAATTAAAACGCATATTGATTTTACAAGAATAATAATTTTGATACTATACTTTTAAACACTCTCCATCACGTTATTTCTCTATGTGTACATAATAAAACTCTCATCTTACCTAATCATATATATAATACTTAATTAAGTGGTGATTTTACGAGAATAATGATTTTGATATCTATAATTTTAAACACTCCATCACGTTATTTCTCTCTATATATAGAATAATGATTGTGAAAAATGTGTTACATGGTTTGCAGGTAAAGAGGTATGGAGAGAATTCATGGCAGAAACACCAAAGCTAGCCTACGTAACCGTCCTTCACTCTTCGGAAGACTACGTTTGTGGTGCAATAGCCCTCGCCCAAAGCATCCTCCAAACCAAAACCAAAACCACGTCCCAAACCATCGACCTAATCCTCCTAGCCGACAAATCCATCGGTCCCAAATCCACAGAGGGTCTCGAATCCGCAGGTTGGAAGATCCAACGCATCCAACGCATCCAAAGCCCCTTCGCAAAAAAGGGCGCGTACAACGAGTGGAACTACAGCAAACTCCGCATATGGCAACTCACCTCGTACGACAAGATAATCTTCATTGACTCCGACCTCCTCGTCCTCAAAAGCATCGAACACCTATTCTCCTACCCTCAGCTATCCGCAGCAGGCAACGACCTTACACTCTTCAACTCGGGTTTGATGGTGGTGGAGCCCTCCCAGTGCATGTTCCTGCACATGATGGACAAAACTTCCGAGGTTCGTTCCTACAACGGGGGGGACCAGGGGTTTCTGAACGAGATCTTCGCCTGGTGGCACCGCTTGTCGAAGAAGGTGAACCACATGAAGACTTTCGTGGGGAGGAACGAGAGTGGTGGCCGTGCGGTGCCCGCTGACGTCTACGCGGTGCATTACTTGGGGTTGAAGCCGTGGACGTGTTACAGGGACTATGATTGCAACTGGGACACGTCGGATCGGAGGATTTTCGCCAGTGATGAGGCGCATGAGAGTTGGTGGAAGGTGCACGATGCCATGCCGAAGGAGTTGCAGCCTTATTGTGGACTCACCCAGAAGATGAATGAGAGGATTATCAAGTGGCGGAGGAAAGCCAGGAATGCTAGCTTTTCTGATGGACATTGGAACATTCAAGTCAAGGATCCTAGGAGACACAATTTTTCTTCGGATTAGAGTTTAGATTATGGCTTTGGTCATATATATAAATACATATCTCATAGCTACATATAGGCAAAAAAAAAAAATTCCTTTTTAAGTTTATTAGACACCAAAAGTAAGTTCAATTTAATATGGATTTTTGATATATATAAATTATTCAGACATTACATTTTCTTCTATGAGTGCAACACTAATGATCGAATATCATAGTTACATGATTTATTACTTATTTGGTATAAAAAATTAGCTATTTATTATAAATGATTGATGTTTTTTTTAATTATAGTGTAAAATTACTTTACACGGATAATACATCATCAATCACTTATATTCTTTTTGTTTTAAATTATTTTTTTTAGCAACGGATGGGATTAAACCCCATTCATGAATATGGAATTTTTAAAGTAATTAATGACACACTTGTTGATTTCATGAATTTTACCATTTAAATTTTGAGTTTTCATTTTTTTATTAAAATTTTAAAATTTGTATATTTTACTATTTAATTAATTCAGTAATTTGTGTTGTTAATTGATCATTAACATAATATTCCAATCATTGATATGAATTAATAAGATGTTATCAAAGTTATCTACATTCATCTTAAATGGATCGTCCAATACACGTAACAAGCCTAATAGTATTGATTGTGAGGAAATATATTAAAAAAAAAACTCAAACATTACTTATCGTATATCATTAATAAGTCAGGAACAACTTTCACCCTTCTAAGTTGATTTTATAGGAATAAATTAAGTCTAAACTCACTATTATATATAACATAAACAAAAAAATATTTGTTTAAAAATTAAATATAGTGTAAAAAAATGGAATGAAAAAATTTGATATTTCATACTACAATTATTGTTAAATATTTATAATTAAATTATTTTTTGTATATTTTTAAGACAAAAATTAATAATGTTTTGACCATCCTGTTTTAATTTAGTTCAATGTAGTTTTCTAACTCTTTTTTTATATTAGTTATCCGTGACCTTTCATTTGTATCAAATTTATTTATTATTTATTTATACTTTGATCAACTTTCTTTTTGAAGGTATTAAATTTTGTTGTTAGTTTGTCAAATCTGCTGTTAAAGTTCACGTGTTCTTCTCTCATCATAATTAAATTGAATTTCTACACCATTCATTCTTTCTTCCTCTTCTTTCTTTCCATCTCCATCAACGTTACACAATTCCATCAAACTTTGCGGATGATTTATTTATTATTATTATTATATAATATAACTTTAACTCAAATGTAGATAACATAACATGCACGCTTTTAATTATCTTGTAAATTGTTTATAAGCAATATCCTATGTCACATTAATTCTAATTTACTTTATGGATTTTTTAAATTTTAGCAAAATGTTATTTATAGAATTAACTCAACTCATAAAATAAATCAGAACTGATATAGCAGTGATAGCAGTGACTGATGTGACGCGGGGAGTTATTTAGAAGTAACTCATGTTCTGAAAACAAATTTCAGGTTGGCACATGCGTGGCATGGCCAAATTCCACGTGTGTTACGTAAGATAAAACGAGTAGAGTATACCTCTTTCTTTTCTAAGATTTTGTGTGCGTTTGTAAGTAAGAAGCCTCTCCGGCGATCTGAGTTTTCCGATGGCGGAGCAACGCCGCAAGACCACGCTTGATTCGGGGTGGGTCGCAGCTAGATCCAGTGAGGTCCACTTCACCGGAACCCAGCTCACCACCACTCATCCTCCCACTGCCTCCACTTCCCCATGGATGGAAGCTCTCGTTCCCGGAACGTAATTTTCATCACACCTTTTCCATTTCCTAATTTTACTACAATTTTCATTAATTATGGTTCTCTTTAATTTGTTGACTTCATCTCACGTTATATTGCAGTGTTCTGGGGACCTTGGTGAAGAACAAAGTCGTGCCCGATCCTTTTTATGGACTGCAAAATGAACACATCATTGACATTGCTGATTCCGGAAGAGACCATTACACCTTCTGGTTCTTTACCACCTTTCACTGCAAGCTTGTAATTGTTCTTTCACACATTGTATAATAATTTCAACTGTCACCACTTGTTTTTATGCTTTGGACCATGTGAAATTAGTTTTTGAAACACGGAGACAGATATCCTGTATCCTAGGTCTTAAATTGTCGTTGTGGTTGATGAAATTGTAGCTTTGTCACGATCCTGATGATAATTGCAAACAAATGTGGCTGCAATTGTGGTCCAAATCCATAAACCTTGATGTTGTGGCCGTAGTCACTAAATAGTAATCTTATTTTGAAAATACTTTGGTGATTTTCTTATTTTGATGGTAGAGAACTAAGGGAAGGGACATTTCTAATTAGTTGACCCCTTTGCATTTGCAGTCAAGCAATGAGTACTGTGATCTAAACTTCCGTGGAATCAATTACTCTGCTGATGTGTATTTGAATGGCCATGAAATCGTCCTACCAAAAGGGATGTTTCGGAGGCATTCTCTTGATGTCACCGATATTCTTCATCCTGATGGTACAAACCTGCTTGCTGTTCTTGTTCATCCTCCGGATCATCCTGGGAGAATTCCTCCTGAGGGGGGACAAGGCGGTGATCATGAGGTTGGAGATTAACTTCATTTCATACATCTGATCCTTTAATTTTATCCTTTCAACTACTTAACATTTCCGTACGTGAAAGCTTCGAATATCTGTTTCAAGTGTTTCATTATTTCTGGAATCAGTTAAGACTACGATGAAAGAAGAAGAGAAGCGATGCTTGCGGTTGCAGGATATCTAATTCGTTTTCTCTTGTTATTTTGTAGATAGGAAAGGATGTGGCCACACAATATGTTGAAGGTTGGGATTGGATGGCTCCTATAAGGTGACATTACTAATACTTGCAATGATGTGTGGTGATTGGCTTTCTGTTCCAAAAATAATTTTTTTATTTTTTCTTTATTCATTGAAATAAAATCCTGTATTATTTTTATAGAGCATTTTGGGAATTACAGGATGACTGATTGAATTTTGAATAGAATTGGAACTACAAAGAAGCCAAAATGTATCAATGACTAATGCCAGTGTTAAATTTGATTGCAGAGATAGAAATACAGGAATATGGGATGAGGTTTCTATTTCTGTTACTGGGGTGAGTTGCATTAATTGCTTTAGAACTTCCAAAGTCTTTACTATTATTTTTTTAATCACTTAAGGATTTGCCACTGGGCAAATTATTGAGGCCTTTCACTTCTCCTCCTCATCCTGCTCTGTTTAATGCATTGTTGGTCCTAATACTTCTGTTGTTCATGCGTAAATATTGGTGAACTTCAAATCCAATCATGTGTTGGCCTTATCTTTATGATATGTTGTCTAGGAGTCATTGAGATGTCAGTAAAACAAAATCAGGATATTGCAGAGGCATGGGCTAGACATCCGAATTGCCATGTTAATTTTAGCATTTAATGCAGTCCATAGTCCATACATTCAACAAGTCTGATCAAACATTTGGTAGTGTTGATTTTCTTTTTTTTTATAGACTATGGTTCTTCCAGCTGTTCCTTGGTGGGATGACTTCAGTCTCTGTGTTTGGTGCAGCCAGTAAAAATAATTGATCCACACTTGGTTTCAACATTTTCTGATGATTATAAGACAGCATATCTACATACAACAACTGAGTTGGAAAATAGGAGCTCCTCGACTGCTGAGTGTTCTTTGAGAGTCCAAGTGACAACAGAAATTGAGGATAGCATTTGCTTAGTAGAGCATCTTCAAACTCAAAATCTCTCAATTCCTGCAAAATCAAGGGTGCAATATACTTTTCCTGAGGTCAGTGACTGCATTCATTATGCTTATGAGAAAGTTTAGTCCATTGTGCTTTGACCTTTAACCCATTTGAAGAACTTAATTATTAATCCAAGACATCTTGATCGACAAATTTGGCAATTTAAGAAATTTGTTAAATTTACACCGTATTATCTTGGTAAATGTTCGTGGACAGCTGTTGTGCAGGTTTGTATATATGGCTTACATCATGTGTTTGTATTATATAGGTTTGTCTAGATTTTAGATAAATCTAATTTACTGTAATTATAATTAAAGATTTAAAAATTAACTATCATATCTTGAGCCTTACTGTAATCAGACAATCTTTAATACACTGGTGATTGTTTTAGGTTCAGAATACCCTAAATAATAATGGACCTTTTACATTTCCATACTTATCAAAGGAACAAATGTTCAGATATGGTTGGAGAAATTTGATGAAGATATATTAGCAATTATCAAGGCGATGGTATCCATAATTTGTTAATTATTACTTATTGTCTTTCTTTACTGTTTATGCTGATATGTATGATCCAAAGAAATAAAACTGACAGCAAAACATTTAAAGGAGCCAAGTTATCATAGGGACACTCCCCCATATTTACATTGAACATAGTTAATCCTAGATAAACAAAGCATATAAAAAAAATTTAAAGCAACCCAAGTGATCATAGGTACAGTCCTTTTTTTTTTTTTTTACATTGCAAAAATGCAATCTTGAGTAGATAACATTTTCTAGCATCCTTTTACTACTGATCCTGTTTACTTGCATGTATTGGGGGTTTAAGTTTCAATTGCCAATGATCTGAATTAACAGCTTCTCTTCTCCAAACCCAATTTATGGTGGCCCAATGGAATGGGAAAGCAATCTTTGTACAATGTTGTTATTAGCATTGATATTAAAGGATTTGGAGAATCTGATTCATGGAGCCATCACTTCGGTTTCCGTAAAATTGAGAGCCATATTGATGATGCTACTGGGGGAAGGTATGGTGATTTCTCATATTTCTTCCTTTTTATTTTTCTTCCTTAGTAGAATTTATTCAATTTTTAAACTGTTTCTGCATATGTTTTGTGGCATACATCTTATTTTGTAGGTTGTTTAAAGTCAATGGAGAACCAATTTTTATTCGAGGGGGTAACTGGATATTGTCTGATGGACTACTGCGGCTTTCAAAGAACCGGTATAATACAGATATCAAGTTTCATGCAGATATGAATTTTAACATGATTCGATGCTGGGGTGGTGGGCTGGCTGAAAGGCCTGAATTTTATCATTACTGTGATTATTATGGCGTTCTGGTAAGCTGCAACTGCTACCAGACCCTTACTTTTCCTT